ATCTGATACAGTGTTTCACACATTTACTGGGAAGCATGGTGACTGTGGATTTTTACACCATTGCAGCAGCCATTTTGTGTATAGCAATGTCCCACAAATATTTATCTGGGGTGGGGGGGTGTGGGGGGTGCGGGTTGTGGGATTAGCTAGGACACTGAGAAACAGAAGCTCTTTTCTCTTTTCGGAAGGTGCGATGGTCAAATGCAAGGATAATAATGGGTGTCAGTCATGCTGTTCACAACTTATAAAAATGCACAGTCACTACATTTCACAGTACAGTTCCTATGAAGCACTTTCAGACATCCTCCTGATACGAAAGGCACTGTAGCAAATGTAAGGATTATTATTATTATGCCCTTCCAGGTCGGGTATATTGCAGATTGAGTGTTGAGCAAAGATCCTTCTGTACTGGCTTGAAACCAGCCCGAGAGAAACATTGTGTACTGGCCCAGTGTGACATTTCCATTCCCCATAGGAGCTATCCTTATGGCTTTTTTCACTGAAGAATTAATGCAACCCAGTGCCAAATAAGGCCACTTCTGAGCTCTGGACATGAGCCCACAAAGGTTTACATTTAAAGCTTTAATAATAAAAAGAAAAATCCTTGCATGTGATATCAGGCTTTTCATGTCTTCCAGACGTCTCAAAGCCCTTCACAGAATATACTGTAAAGAGAATTGACTGTATTATTTGTGGGCGAAGCACGGCAGCCAATTGCGCACAGCAGTGTCCCACAAACAGTTGTGGTTTGAAGTGACCAAGTTTATTATTGTTTTTTTTTCTTGAGGGATTATTATCAGGCATGTGAAGTGAGGAGACTCGCCCAAGGTTTCACACTGCCGGGAATCGCACCCACGTCTCTTGCTTGCGAGACAAGTGCTCTAACCACTGAGCTACAAGACTCCGAAAGCTTTAAAGCTTCATGGTTTCTATGTATCTTTTGGGTTGGGTTTGAGCTAGTGGTGTTGCAAGCCACTCTGCTGCCCAAACCCCCGAGATGAGAGTCCGACAACCTGGTTAGTACAGAAGCTAAGAGCTGATGGCTTATGCCTCAGATCCATTGCACAGCCTAGTGGAGAGTCAGAAACACTCATTGACAGGAGGTTCTGGGCAAACTCACTTGCACTATCTGAGCTTGAGACCTTCTCACGCACACACGAATGCACATGCAATGGGTCACACGTACAGAGGATCTTTTTGCTCACTACTACTACTACAACAACAACAACAAATATTTTAATCCTTTATATGAAATGGCTGCACGGTAAACTTGTGCCCTGAACCGGTTTGCACAGCGCTACTTTGCTAACAGAGTGAAATTAGGATGACGTGAAGGCTTGCAGAATTTGCTTTGTATTCTTTGCAAAGTCTCGTGGGCTTTTCTTGGTAGCTGATTTCCATTAAACAAACACACACACAGCACTCGCCTTCTATAATAACGGCAGCTGTCTGTGTAATCTGCTCGCAAAGAAAAAATTGAAGACAAAATTAAATTTGCTAGGTAAATCATGGGACTTATTTGGTCAATTTGGAGGCATTAGGGCCTGAATTCCTTATGCCACACAACGTGCGAGGACTGTCTCAGTGGAAGCACACATTGGAAGCACACATGTCAAAGTCACTTAGCAGTGAGATAAACTTCTCACCCTCAGCTTCTAAGTCCACGGGGGCTTTGGAGTAAAGTGTCTACAATTATCTGCCTCCTCCCTCCCCCTCCCCCCGCCTGCCCCCCCCCCCATGTTTGGCATCCAATCCCAAACACTGGGCAGAGCTCCCTACGTGAAGATCACTAGACGAATGAAAATTATTGTTGTTTTACCCACAAAATATACAGTATATTCTGTGAAGCTCTTTGAGACATCTCAACGACTTGAAAAGGCGTTATATCAAATGCGAGGATTATTATTGGTAGTAGTAGCTTTGCCCACAAAATGTACAGTCAATTCACTTTACAGTATATTCTGCGAAGTGCTTTGAGACGTCTCAAAGACTTTATAAGGCGCTATATGAAATCCAATTATTATCATTATTATGATTTGAAATTTTACCTCATTCTGGAACGTTGCAAATGATAATTATATATCACTGTTTGCAAATAAAAACTAAATTGAAGAGCTTTCCAAAACAACATTTAGTGTGGTTATAACTTTTAAGAGCGCGGTCATAAGGCTGGAGAGCATGAGGGTTTTCGGGCCTTAAGTTAGGACAGGATCAGACTCAACACTGATGCCCCTGTGGTCAAATAGCCTGCTAACACTTAACTGTCAAGCGCACATGAAAAATGCTCACTCGAGTGAGCTGCTGAAGGCTGGCCGGAGACAAGGCTTGGAGGAAGAGGGGATAAGAATAAAAATATTCAAGAGAAAAAATGTCTACAAGAATAATAGCATTCAGGAAGCCACCAATTGTATCTATAACAACGTCATCGTTATAGAAACAAATGTACAGATTAGAATCAACTGCACACCTCCCTCTGTAGCCTGTATATTAGCAGACTCTATCTACATTACTGGCTCAGTTGGTAGCACTGTTCGAAAAGATAAGGGAGTTAATCCCATTGCCCTGGCCAACAATCCCCAAGATTAAATTGATTATTCTTATTTGGTCATCTTCCCTCCTCCACCCCACTTGCCCTCTATCCCTCTGTGATCCCAACCTGCAGTTCGGGTGCATGCCCCTAATTTTCCAGCACCTTGGGACGTCCTCCTTACGTGAAAGGTGCTGTATATAAATGCAGTTAGTTGTTGTTGTTGTTGTTATTGCATTATTGCTTTCGACTACAGAATACACAGTCAATGCTCTTTACACTAAATCCTGTGAAGCGCTTTAAGACATCCTCTTGACGTGAAAAGATTAGTAACCATTAGTGTGGAATGGGAGCTGTGTTGCACTGTAGACTTGGGCTCATAGAAACTGGGTTGAAACTGCCTGAGTGAATTACCCTCGTGTCTCTCGACTGTGAAAAAGCCCTGTGAAAGGCCGTCTGCGGATTCACATTCTGTAGTGAACGGTGAAAAGTGTCATGTTTTAATGACTCAGGGCTGCGAAGCTCCACACAGCCTAGCTTTCAGGAAGCCCAGATTGAAAGTGCCATAAGGGGAAGAAGGGACATTATGATTGACATTTAAGCTCAGTTGTCTAAGCTTGTCCCTCGTTGTCAATTTCAAATCCAGTGCCTCGGCATCGCATCTGATGATGTACGTAACCTCCACGTAACCTTGAGCCACATCAAGCCTGTCGGAAACGGTCTTCAAAGCCCCTATCTTATTAAACGTCCCTTTCGCTTGCTTCCGAGATGTTTTATTTTTTAATTTAGGAGAACAAAACGAGGCAATTACAAAATACCTGCCGGTGCCCTATTTTAATAAGGTGGCGTTGTAGACATGGTGGTGCAATATTGATGATTATAATTCTTCTGAAGAGATCACACTTCTGGGGTGTTAGATGCGTGGAAAATTAAAGAGGAAATTTCAGATTCCGGGTCATTGACCTCAGTCAGACAAATCTTCTCATTAACAAACATTTTTACAGGAGTGCTATTTGGTTTAGTTTCATCCTTTTCCCAAACCTCAGGATAATTAGGCTGTTTTCTCCCGGTGCTCTGTTGTGAGTCGCCAATGTGAGGGACATGCCCGGAACTGGTTTAAATTAACTGATGAATATTTATTTGATGGCGCTCACTTGCTCTTCACACTGTCAAATAAAAGCGCCCTGTACCTCCGTGCAGCTTGGAATTGCACTTCGGGTCAGAATTAGCCTTTGAAGTCATTTTTGCTGCTCGCATTTACATATCATGTTGGTGAATGTTAAAACATACTGTACTTTCTTTTGCCTGGCTAACATGCTGCTACGTTTACGAATTACAGCATCTCACTGCATAATCTGCTTAAGTGCAGGTTCAGCCATTTATAAGACTTAACACACAAAGAAAGTGTTATTTTTCAGCACAGAACGGGACCATTCAGTCTAGGGTACTATTAGCAAATCACCTTTTGTGTATCATTCCCACTTTCTTTCCCCATATCCATTCTTTCTACCGCCCTGGTGTTTATCCAGTCCCTCCGGAACATCGCCAGACTACGGCACTACCTCACCCCTCACGCTGCTGAAACCCTGGTTCACGCCTTTGTCACCTCAAGGCTGGACTATGGGAACTCTCTCCTCACCGGCCTTCCCACCACCTCCCTCCACACTGCAGGTCATTCAGAACTCTGCAGCTCGTGTACTGTCCCGCACCAGGCTTCGGGACCACATCACTCCCACCCTCGCTCGCCTCCACTGGCTCCCCATCCCCCAGAGGATTGATTTCAAGATCCTCATCCTCACCTACAAGGCCATTCACGGCCTTGCTCCCTCCTACCTCTCCAACCTACTATCCCCCTACCTACCTGTCCGTACCCTCCGTTCCTCTGGCTCCGGTCTGCTCCACGTCCCCCGCCCCAACCGCCCTACCATCGGTGGTCGGGCCTTCAGCCTCTCAGCCCCGAGGCTCTGGAACTCCATCCCCCAGTGCCTTCGCCTTGCTTCCTCCCTTTCCTCCTTCAAGGCCGGTCTCAAAACCTTTCTCTTTGAGGTTATCCAGTTCCCTTTATACAGCAAATTGGGTCATGTGGCGGTGGGTGACGTGAGGCGCTAAAATTTGGTTGTTGTATTTGGCACGCCAGGGGGCCAAAATACACAGTCACTCCACTTTACAGCAAAATTATTAAAGCCCTTTTATGAAGTCTCAACGACGTGACAAGGCTCAATATCGAATGCTCAAATTACATTATTAATGTTATTATTATACTCCCATTGATTTAAATATTTTATCATGTTGTAAGGAAACCACGGAATGGGAATGAGATGTAATAGCTGAATTTGAATGATTTTGCACACACACACACACACACACACACACGCGCAATGTTTGCTGCTCGATTCACATGCGGTGTGTTTTTTGTTTATTTGCTTGTAGGTCCAGTTAGAAATCAGCCGTCTACCCTTCGGTGTGAAGGCATGGTATATGGACACGTGGAGCCATGAAAGGGTTAGGTGGTAATCGAAACCGACACCATTCTGACAACTGCGAACCCCCAAGCGATACCATGTACCCGAGCCCAGGACAGGAGAGGAACCCCTACCTTCTCAGTCCGTCAGAATCCTATCAGATGGACCACCACAGGTTCACTGTGCCAAACTCCAACCATGGCGACTGCCTCTTGCCTCTCAACAACCAAATTGCCAGCAGCACTTTCCCCCGGATCCATTACAACTCCCACTTTGACCTGCGAGACGAGTGCGGCTTCACTCCGAACACGTCCACCAGCAAAATCAACCGCATCCCCGCCAACCTCCTGGACCAGTTTGAGAAGCAGCTGCCTATCCATAGGGACGGCTTTCACACCCTGCAGTTCCAGAGGAGCGACAACAAGCACCGGAGCGAGAGCCCCGGTCGCATCCGCCACCTCGTTCACTCGGTTCAGAAGCTGTTTGCCAAATCCCAGTCTCTGGAAGGCGCTGGAAAAGGCAGCGTGAACGGTGGTAAGTTTGGCACAGAGGACGGCAAGCAGAGCAAGAGGAGCAAGAGCAAGGATAGGAAGACGGACACCAAACGCAGAACGAGATCGAACATCTCAGGCTGGTGGAGCTCAGACGATAACTTAGACAGCGACAACTGCAACTATCGGAATCCAATGAGCCTGATGACACTGGGCAGACGTCCCGATCACGGCCCTGCCAAGTACTTCATGAACGCATACAACACCATCAGTGAACACACTCTCAAAGCTTCAAAGAGCAATAATGACTTGAAATGTACACCGTGCGTGAACATTCCCATAAACGCTGATTCCAAGTACATTAAGAGGGGTTCCTGGTCAACGCTAACCCTGAGTCAGGCTCGTGAAGTTTGCCAAAAAACATCTGCTACGATGGATAGATCGCTATTGAAATCCAAGTCCTGCCACCAAGACCTAGCATGTCATTACTTGAAGGTAAGCGAAGTGCTTCGTTTTAAGAGTTCATCAAAAGAGTTCATGTGGAGTCCTGCAGCTCAGTGGTTGGAGCACTCGCCTCGCAAGCGAGAGACCTGGGTTATACTCCCGGCAGGGCGAAATGTTGGGCAAGTCTCATTTACTCCACACTCCTCTGTTTACCTAACAGTAAGTAGGAACCCGGTTGTTAGTTGATTGACAGATCACTTTTCCGGGAATAATAATCCTTAAAAAAAAATAATCATTTGGTCACTCAATCCACGACTGTTTGTGGGACACTGCTGTGCGCAATTGGCTGCCACGTTTTGCTCACAAATATACAGTCAATTCACTTTGCAGTATATTCTGTGAAACGCTTTGCGAAGTCTATAAGACGTAAAAGGCGCTATATCAAATGTAAGGATTATTATTATTATTACTTTGCATTTCTTTTCAGATCAGATGTGAATCTGTTAATATAGCTCTCCTGCTTCGCTGCCAAATATTAAGACCTTCTTCTTAAAGTTCTCAAAGATGCACAATTGATGCACATGTTCATATTAGTGTGAGCACTGTTTCATGGGAGATCAGAAAAGGAAGCTAAATATTCGTGACAGCTAACCACAGAGCTCCAAAACATATTTCAACTCTGCTGATATTTCTGCAAAACATATTTCTGCCGTCCGATCAAAGTGGTTCGGGGCAAGGCAAAGGGCTCAAATGTTGAATTTCTTTACACAAATCTACTTTCTCAATGGTAGGTAGACTCCAGGGCACTTGCTGATGACAGCACAGCCGGCCTGGCTCATCGGCAGGACTTGGAAGGGCAGACCAGTCACTGGGGGCAGGAAATCCTCCCACTCAGCTCCTGTTAATCCTGCAAGCCAAAGCCCTAGTGGATAGGGTATACCTACCTGATCAAGCAGCAGGAAAGCTTGCCAGACAGTGCTCTCAATGGCAAGCTACGTGGTTGAAGCTGGTTGCACTCCAGCAGTTACCCCAACGCACACTCTGGGGTCCACAAGCCTTGGCTCTTGCCAACCTGCGCCTAATGCTTTCCGGAATTAGGTAAACAGGATGCATCCCTCCAGGGAGAGAGTGCGCATTTCATTCCAACAAATATCTCTGAAATTTACATGTGTAGGTGGGACGCATAGAATTTTTGGTTTGGTTTGGATACCTAAGCATGGTGATGGATTTCCGCATGTGTCAGACACCCAGCTGACCAAAAATGCCTTGGTTTATTGGTTAAGCGTTCTATTGCTTAGCAACCCGCAGATCCTCTCAGCGGCCACTGTGAGATCTTTTAACTGCAGCTGATGTGAAGGATTTTTTTGTCTCTTTGACGGTCCTCTGTGTGTGTGTGTGTGGATGTATGTGGGTGTATGTGTCTTGTCTGTCTGTCTGTCTGTGAGGTTGGGGAGATGGTAGAGGAAACCAGAGATAACCGAGAAGCAGAAATCCGTGACATGTTGACTTTATTTCCAAAGGAATTTTTCTTTTCTGGCAATCAATCAAAAATGCACTTTGAATTCCCCTCAATCCAATACGAAAACATTTCATTTGGGTCAGAGACATTCCCTCTCTATAGTTTGAAACAGGGGCAAGCGATATTTCTTGAGGCATTTCAAACGATTTCCAAATTCTGCCATCTGCAGATCATAAAAATATCAAGTTAACCAGATCTATGACCTGTGCTACAGGAATCCTAGAGCACTTGTCTCGCAAGCGAGAGACCTGGGTTCAATTCTCAGCAGGGCGAAACCCTGGGCAAGTTTCCTTATTCCTTATTCCTGATAATGATCCCTCAAGAAACAAAACAATAAATTGGTCACTTCAATCTGCAGCTATTTGTGGGACGCTGCTGTGCGCAATTGGCTGACGCATTTCGCCCACAAATGCACAGTCTTTTCACTTTACACTTTATTCTGTGAAGCGTTTCGAGACGTCTAGAAGACGTGAAAAGTGCGATATCAAATGCAAGGATTAGTATTATTATTAATTGCAGCCAATTGCGCACAGCAGTGCCCCACAAACATCAGCTGCGCTGAGAGTTCAGAGTCCGCTCCACCTTCCACCGGTCTCGGAATCCGCTCCTGGTGTTGCGACTGCCGTTCTACTTACGGCCAAAAAAAGAACGAGCGAAGCTCGCGAGTCCTGAGCCACTCGCTCTGCGGGTATGTGGGTCAGTCACAGGAGTTGATCTTCCTGCATAAAACATTCGCAACACTTTGTACTCAGCTCGTAGCGAAATAGAGCTCCAGTGCTGAGCTGTCGCCAGTGCGGCAGACTTCGAGACTTTATTTAGACGTCAAAACGTTCGCCAGATCCCACAGTTGCCGCTTCCACCATCCACGGAGAATGCACAGCGGCAAGGCATAAACCTGCAAGAAATTCAATCAAAGCTCTGGTGCAATTTGGAAGGGGGGGGGGAGCAAGGGGGTATAATGGGAGGGGAGGGGTGGTGCGGAAAAAGCATATGCAATATTATTCCAAACACGATAAACAATGCTTGGCTGTTTGATTCGTACAATGGGGCCGTTGTTAAAAAGAACAGACTTAGCTACAGTTCATTGAACCTCCTGTCCTATTAATTGCCCATTTGTTTTGACTCGATGAAGGCATCAAAAAGGTCACTTTGGAGTGCATGACCGGTCTTGCACGAGCATTTTTGGCTTAATCCAACCTTTTTTTAACTCTTAAGGATTCACAACATCACGGCTGACCCCATGAGAACCAACTTGGGGCAGAATTTAAATCAACATAGCATTTCAGAACCTGCATAATTTGGTCAAATGTGGAATTCAGTATTTATTCTGCAGTTAAAATATTATTAATAATTATAATAAGAATCATTTATTAATCATCGCTATTCATCTGATAGAGCGCTTGCATTTGATAAAGCACTTTTCACGCCAGGGTATCTCAAAGCGCTTCATAAGATATACTGTAAAGTGTAGTGACTGTATATTTTGTAAGCAAAGAGCAGATAGAAAACCAGCTGCAGAAGGTTGAATTTAAGAATTCTGAATGCCCTAAAATGCTGTATGAATTGAGTAAATCAGGACAGAGATGAAATTTCTCCCCCATATTATGAGAAACAGGTTGTTCGTAGCAATTGGTTAAGTGAGCACAAACATCAGCTGACTGCGCCATCCTGCTTCAACATAAGTGATGTTTCACATCAATATTTAATACCACAGTCATATCAATTTAATAGAACTTTATAATTGAGTCCTGGTTTAATTGATGTTGAACATTCCTGAGCTTTATACAGTCCTATAATGAAATCTTTTTTTGAAAAAAAATTCCGTCATCACCCTCCCCCCATTTTAATTCCTGTAAATGTTTTATTCTATTTATTTAAATAGTAAATAGTGAAAATTAATTAATGTTCGAATGCAGCAATGGGAGGCATAGGAGAATGGTTCATAATAGTATTATAATCCTTGCATTTAATATATCGCCTTACTGTGGGGTTGGCTAGCTATGTTACCATTTCAAAATAAACTCTTGCAGGAAAACAACTTGCCGATAGATATTCCACCTGGGTCCAGATTTGGCAAATTCATAAATGCAGTTTTTAATTTTGAAGCTCATTTCCTGTAAATTATCTCTTAGAACTTGAAAGTTACGCCTGAAGTGGGCAAAGTGCCAAAGTCTGGACTCTCTGAAAGCAGAGTCAATTTAATAATAATAATAATAATAATCCTTGCATTTGATATAGCACTTATCATGTCTTCGAGATGTCTCAAAGCGCTTCACAGAATAATAATAATAATAATAATCCTTGCATTTGATATAGCGCTTTTCACGTCGGGAGGACGTCCTAAAGCGCTTCACAGAATATACTGTAAAGTGAATTGACTGTATTTTTGTGGGCGAAACGCAGCAGCCAGTTGTGCACAGTAGCGTCCCACAAACAATCGTGGATTGAAGTGACCAATTTATTATTGTTCTTTTTTCTTGAGGGATTATTATCAGGCGTGTGGAGTAAGGAAACTTGCCCAAGGTTTTGCCCTACCGGGAATCAAACCTGGGTCTCTCGCTTGCGAGGTGAGTGCTCTAACCACTGAGCTACAGGACTCCAGTGGAATTTAGACCCAAGTAGAATTTTTCCCTGTTGCCCAGTAAGTGAATGAGAGATTGAAAATAGCTTCGAACTGTGTATTGGAGGCAGCTGCCTTGGTGAATGGCGAGCAAAGAGGCAGGCAACTGAAGCCTGGGCTCGAGGCATTAACTAAATGGTGTTAAAAGCTATTGCTGTTCTCTTGAACTCTCTCTCTCTCCCCTGTGTGGAAGTATTTGACTTTCACACCACAGCACTTCCTCTTGACTGCACAGCAGAAGTTGGAAACTCAACATGCGGTAAAATCGAATGCGATCGATCAAATGTAGCCCCTGAATTTTTATGAGCCTGAAACCAACTCTGAGGCCGGAAATTACACCTCGTCTGATCCTGCAAGACCGTTTTGTCTTAAGATTCAAGGTGGCGCAGAAAGGTGGACAATTCTTAAATACTCTCTTATTTTGGAAACCTTTTTAAAAACTGCTGGAAAATGACCTCCAAATGAATACCAAATATATAGGTTTTCCCCATTTCTGCACAATTTTAAATATTAAGACAAAATTGCCTTTCAGCTAATGCAAACAACAACAATTTGCATTTATAAAGCGCACTTCACATGGGATAGCATCCCAGTCATTGGACTAGATGGGATCGCAGGTTTCCTGAAGTGGCTTTACTTATGGACAGGATTACATTTCCGATATCAGAGATGAATAAAGATTCATCTTGCAATGAGATCTTCCCAAATCCAGCACTAAAAGTCTCTTACTGCATAAGACCTCTGCGGTGAAAGACCTTGTGTTTGATGCCTTCAGGCTAACAAGGCAAATCCCATATAACCACAAGTGGCATTTCACGATGACGGGACATTCTGTCAATCCATGTAACATGGGGCCTCCTGGAGGTGAAAATATTACATCATAAGAATAGCACAGAACCAACAAAGCAAAAT